TTCCTGTAAATTGACACTGCCAGCATATAGACCGGTTGGAAGTCTCATGAGATAGCATTCAGTTGTTGAGCCGTATTTGGAGTCGCTCAAACTACGATGAATTCGGTGTTGTTGTTTGGTAGAACCACGAAATCCACGATAAGGTGGTGGTGGAGGGAGGAATGAGCAACTGGAACCACTGCTTAGCGTACTGGAGAAGCCCGAATCGCTATAGTGTGTCACGTATGGAAGTAACGGACGTGATGTTGCCGTAGATGACGACGCTGTACTCCTTCAACACAAATGCAATGGCTTACAATATCAATGCCACTCACAATTCAGTAACCACAAAATCTTGCAACAAACACTTTTCAACACATTCACACTCACACGTATCTGTTCACGCATTCTTATATACTTTCACATACATACATTCCAGATAATAGTGAAGTTGATATGTTTCCATGTAGCATCTTAAGCCGTGTTGAATCAGTGGGTCATCTTAACAGTTGCTTTTGGTCGCTTTACTCTAGTGGAACTTTAGTTAATGTTTATCACTTGTTTTAGTAAGAATACCTTCGCAGATGTTTAACTGTTGCGAAAGCAACTGATTGATTAACTGAGAAAGAGGCCTTTCAGGGGTCCAATCTTGAGCTCATCAATGAATGCAATAAACAAAAGACATTTTAGGGAATAAATAGAGAAGAATAGGGGGAGGCATAGTTGACAGGAAAATAGATCTGCACAACCAATATATTTATATGATATATATAACTAGATATATGTATCTATATACCACTCGGATGGATATGAACGTTTTAATTTATTCAGCAAATGAAACTTAGTATAATAACTACTGATGGAAACAGCCGATTGTATGGAAAGTGGGAGAGAACAAGAACAGCAAAAAATAACTATTGCTAATTAACACAAGATTCAGCCAAGGATAAAATAACAATTAGGAATATGTTGGTACTGGCAGTCCAAATTCACAGCACATTCACATATACACTGTCACCAAAGCTCATTGATGTCAGCACGTTAAAAGGAAGCCCAGCTGATATCTTTGTCCTTCTTATCCTCTTCTCTTCTCTCCAAAACAAAACAAAAAAAAAAAGTTTAACTTCTTTAAAATGATTTGGATATGTGTGCATGTAATGTTAAACAATTATAGCAATATATAGACCCAGGAAACTCCACTAAATGCAAAGAAAATGGATGAAGGAAACATCAGCAATCAGAAGGAAATACTCATATCGATAAGCTCATTTGCTAGAATGCAAATGAATGTCAAAAGCATGCTGAAGCACAAATTAGAAAAAAAATGCTTCCACTTTTTGGGGTGCCGTTTTCAGTCCTTCTTTTCTTCTTTTTTTGAAGCCAAGCTAATACCACTTTAAGGTCCATTCCTTCACTATTATCAGCTCTTTAGCATTGGTTGCTCATTCGTTTTGTTTCATAGACATTTTTTGATTTAGTTATAAATTACGCCTATCGTTTGATTGCATATTGTTTTTTATTCCAACGCTTTTTAGCATTCTTGTCGTTTTTTGAAATGTTGTTTATATATATTATGCATGAGTTTTTCATATATACATATATATATATATATATATATATATATATACTAACATTTAAACGTAAAAAAAATTGATTATTTTCTTAGATTTGCTTCTTGAAAGCTCCAACAACATTATTATCAGAAGTGAGAACCTCTTAAAAGAACCATTACACAAGTTCTTAAATTAATACCAACATCACATAACATCATATTTATCAATTTTCACATAATCATATATTTATCAATTTTACGCTATGGAATCAAATTTTATTGGCCTTCTATTCCCGTTTTTCAAAAAATTTCATGACAATATTTTATGTGAAATTTGTTTTCTTTTGATAGAAAGAAAAATTGTGTCATTACTTTACAGTTTGTTTGTTAATGTTTCCATTTCAGAAATTTGGAATAAACTGTCTTTTTTACAAACTATTGTAACCATAATTGGTTTAGTTTTTAGGTGATTTTTTTTGTATGAAATCATTTCAAAATTCAAAGATTTAAAAATTCACAAATAATTAGTTTGTGAATTTTTAAAAGTTTCAACTAACTCAAAAATGTGACTGAATGAACAATAAATTTAACACACTTTTGTTATTAACAACAAAATAAACTAAATGATTCGAGTTATATCTGAAGTAAAATTTCTAACCTATACTTTCTAAATTGAAAATATATCAAACAAAATAAGATAGTCATACAAAGGTCATATTCTATTTATAGACTAATTTATGCAAAGCATAAATCTGCAACCGGTAATGCTCATTACATTTTCATATCAATCATCAAGACGAAGCACACACATACACCGTCATAAGTTTATCTCCTTATCACTTCTCACACAAGCCAATTTGAAAAACACCTCAACATCCCACTGCCAATATGGAAATCTAAAAATGGGAAAGGAAGTTCTATTGTAAAAACCTTATTGATGATCGGTGATCCTTGAAAACAGCGCTTCCTGTACTACTTCGTAATGAAGCCAGTGATCGGATGCCAAAACCATCTTCTATATATCGATGACTTCCAATTTCGGCCATACTATTCCAGGAAATATCGTCAGTTGTTTTAGAAACAAACTACTAGGAAGTACGTTATTACAGATCGTCAGGATGAATGAACTGATATGAAAATAAATTATAGCTAGTACAGGTGATAATAACATGTCTAAACTTCTGGTGCAGCAGCATAAATATTGAACTTGCTAGGTTTGCAGGATATATTTGAAATGATTACAGTATCCAGGATGAACTACAAAATAATAATATACTGATCGGAATGTTTATTCTAGGCAGGATTAACCGTTCAAATGATCCGTTATAAACTTAAATCGGTTCAAAGTAGAAGCTTATGCTGCTTCTGCTGCTACTGTGGCTGCCACTGCAACTACTTTAATTGCCAACGGTAGAAAAGTGTAGGAGAAACCATTACACATATGCTTCAAGATTTTGGAACAAATACACAACTGTTATCAGTGCTTCCTCCTCTTTATACCTTGCAAATGTATGGAGAATTTACTCTTATTCTCTTGCCTAAAATTTTGAATAGTGAACACCAAACGGATTATTATCATAGCAAGAAATGCACCGAAGAATTTTTCTGAAATTGATGCTTTATCCTATTATCATCATCATCAATCCCAATGCCATTGGTAAGCTCTAAATTACCTTTCAAAATGAAAAAAAAAAAAAAAGACGGAAGATGAAAAAGGAGATGATAATTTCCTGATTGAATAATATACTTCGTAATGTATGGAAATCAAAGATTAACTGATGCTAAATTTGATAATTAGAAAGTCTTAAATGTTTTTTGATAACTTAGTTGATTAGTTACGATGATGAATTTGTTCATTACAATGATAAAAAATCATAATAGACGGCTAATGATATAAAATATTTATCAGTGCAACACTTCGAATTGTTGCAGTAATATTATTACTCTGTCACTCGATGTTATTAATAGTTATCGGATAAGTTCAATTTTTTTTTTTTTTTTTTTGGAAAACAAAAAGAAGTATTTCAAAATTGGAAATGTAAGCTTTCAAGCTAATTAATTTCCACTAAGGTATTAACATTAATTGCTAATAGCACCTGATAATATTAGATGTTAACATCATCCTAACAACACCGATAATAAGATAACCTTCCAACAAACTTATAAAGTTAAATAAATCATGTTAATATCATTAATAACAATAAATTATTCTTTCTCAAACAGAAGGGAATTAAATGAGATGGTATGCTAAAATATTATCGTATTTTATAGTTTTTAACTTTAAATTATTTAATGTACGACTATTTGCTAAACAATTAGCAGTTGGAATTTTAGATCTGAATTTGAAATGCTAAGTTGGCGTTACATCCTTTTCATCCGCAAATAATTAACATTGATTCAGGATGAGAAATATGATGTAAGCAAGAAAGATTTGCTAATAAGACATACATACATGCATACATACACATATATATATATATATATATATATATATATACATTCCACAACAGCAACTGTTCCACAAATGAACATTCCTTAACTTTACAATTTAAGCTTTCGAGAAATTTTTTAAATAGCATTCCTCACCGACAATCTACCATTCATATGATAAATGCTACATATCCAAAAGTTTTATAATAATTGTATTAGTAAATGGTAATACAATAATGGACAAAATGATGAATTATTGCTAGTATGAGATGGAAATATGTTTTAATCCAACACTTTTTTTAATTTCAATTTTAAATCTTTTATTTATATGGAAATGATACAGCATATAGATTTAATCAATGCAAATCATAGATTTTAAAATGGAAATTATTACCCATACCTGAGATATTGAATTTAATAATTTAGTTTTTGATACGCAGAGATAATGATAATTAAATTATTATCTATAATGCACAATGACAATATCCTCTAATGATTGATGGCATACATATACAGAATGAAATCTGGACGAATTATCGAGGAATAAAATCCAAAAATAGAAAACCCGATAATAGTATCACTTTTTGCTCTTTTATTTGTTGCAAAGTGCTGATGGTACCATTTCCCCACAGAATATTGCTTTCCTTCCAATATTCCATTTTTTCCTACTCATATAAAATTTGAGGTCATGAAAAAAATAAAAAGATTCCGTAAAATTGTCAATTTTTACAAACTGATATTCTCGTTACCCACCGTAATTAATAATTATATTGCTCGTTCACATGAGAAAGAAAAGATGGTAGTGGTTATTATCAATTATTATTTTGAATGTTTTTTATTCTTTCGTACAATATCGAATAATTCTATATTTAATTATACATTCTTGAATGAGGAAAGAGCCTACCTAATAAACATAATATATACCTATAGAGCACAAGGTAGTTATTTGTTTTCAATAAATTATGATTGAAATCAAGATTCGAAATTTAAATTGAAGCTTATCTTACAATCATTAATGAGCGAGCACATCGCACCAAAATCAGGGCCAGCTATTCAGTTCACACATTGTCTTCCATGATTTCCCGAAAAAAGACTGATAGACCGATAAAGATGATATAAATCATTTGGCTATCAATGATTCAATTTTACAACAATATGTTATGGTATTTTCGAATTAATGGCTAGCAGTTGCAATTCTCATCATCGCCATCGTAACAAAGAGCATAACTTACATTTTATTATAAGCACCATTCTTTTTTCCTTTCTTTTTTTGAGTTAAAATAGATTTAAGCCTATTTGATTACTAACACATTAAACACATATTTACTACTTCTGATTTTTAAGCATGAAAATGATGAAATTTCAAAACCTATATGTTTAAATTAAGCATAATGAAATAATTCACCAACACTAGAAATATCAGAATGAAAAATAAGAAGTAAAAAAATAAGAGCAACGAAGATTAAGAGAAATGAAAAAGACACTAAACTCTTTTTTTTTTATTTTTTTTTCTCCTTTTTTTATTCAATGTAAAATTATAGAGGCAACATTAAATATGTCATTTAAACAATTTGTTAATCATTTCTTTTAAAACAGTCATATTAGGGATTCATTACAATTTCCAGAATTGTAAAAATTCAAATAAAAACTTACCAATTTGCTAATTTCCTCCGTAGCACATAACCAATTCATAATTTTCAATCGAGTTTCTAGATCAGGCCTACTTGATATCTCGTTTCGATCAATTGCCTTAAAAAATTTTTATATGCAAATAGGTTGAAACAGATGTACATGCATTATAAATATGTAATCGAAAATTATTAAATATTTATACATTACGCTATTATTAACAAAGCACATTATGATCTGTTTTGTTGCAATTTTTTGCTTTTTAAGTTGTTTCAAAGAGATTATTTCTACTGACCGGAAATTTCTCTTTCTTAAACAGAAAATTCTTTTCATAAAACACGAACAGAACAAATGAAACAGCATTTAATATATTTTAATCCTATCAGAAATTGGCTGCATTTCAGTTTTATGACCTAGCAGACTGTATTAATAAAATAAAACTTTTGTTTCTCCTTTATGTGCTTTTCATCCAATAACTATTACACAGCAATTGTCACTGAATCGATGTTAATATCAATGATATTTTCTTTCATTTATCTGTTACCCGTTGATTAGTTCATTAAATCTTATTCATATAAAATTTTCCAGAGGAAAATTTTCAAAAATGTAAGTATTATTGCATCCCTCAAAATCATTGTGTTTTAACCCAGTCCGAACAGCAAATTGTAAAGAAAGACAGTATCAAAAGTGGGAAAAAGCAAACTGTTTAATTGACATTACTTGATATCGGAGTAATGTTAATTTAAATGTGTGACATACAAAAACTGACACTTCGGATAAATGCCTGTGCTCCAATGATGATACAATAAAATTCACGAAAATCAATTTCAGTAATTATATTTCTTTCTTTTTTTACCCACCTATTTGTTGTTTGTATATTAAGAATGTGTTGTGCATCAGATATAAGCAGTATGTATTTTTATGTTCATCTTATGCCACTATATTGACTGAAGTACAAATAGCAGCTGATTTAAACACTTAAATATAAAATGATTTGTTGCATATGTGTAATAATGTAGAAGTGAGTAATAGAATAATATCCGATTACGCGTATATATTGATAAATTCATCTTTGATTAATTCAGCTAGCATAAAATCATAAATAAGGGTTCAAATAAAGATATAAAAATTGTAGTGTCCGCTAGTAAGGAATAGTAGTAGACTACAAATGACTAATGCGGTTTAATGACCAGTCAACTGAACTTGCAAATTCAACATCAAAGTGTAAAACCCTCATGACATTTATTTCTCTCTCCATGAAGAGTATAAATTTCTAATGAATTGTAAACAACGGTTCATCTTTTGAAGGACTCTCTCACTATTAAGATATATTAGTACAAAAATTCCTCTAACTACGAAGAAACATTTTTATTTCTACTTTGAAAAATTGTAGTTGAAATGGGATTCAATAATGCTAGATGAAATAATGTACACTGCATTATTATTGAAATAATCAGATCATCCGTCACAAATGTTCTGCCAATAATGACACTAGCTACATACTGAACACAGACATTCAAGATAAACTCATCCTGCTAAACCACTCTGTTTCGTCCGGCAGATGGTTGAGTATTAGTTGTTCAGGACGTATGATCCTTGGCGATAAAAATATGGCGATGCATTTTCAACCTATTTGAATTCGCTCAAACTGATGTCTCATGATGTTTTGTAATTACCACGGTGATCCATTCAATCCAAGACAAAGTAACCATGTTTCAATTAAAAATGAGTAATGCACCTATGATAAGAATTACCAGGATTACCAAGTGTCCTTTCTTCTCTTCAGTGCATACAGTTATTTGTCATCATCAAAACAGATTTGCGTAAGCATTATACAAATCAGCTATAATCCTCGACCATTACCAAAAAACAAATAACCACCAGGTCTATATAATTCAAAACGAATAATCATGGATAAAACTGATCCGCCTAACCCAGCTCAATAACCTAATACAATATAATAAGTATCCAATAGTTTTATGATTAACAGTATTAATAATTCTCTGCTTCAACACATAAACAAAAGTCATGCCACAAAAAATATTCATATTAAATAACAAAAACAAACCAAAAAAAATATATAAACTATATAAATTGTATTCATTTCAAACATTTGTTTTGAAATTGTAAAACATCTTAGCCTTTTGAAGATTGGAGTTAAGCAGTTCTGATTGTTTATATCAATGAAATAAAAAAAAAAAAAACACAACCAAATCATTTTTTAACTTCTGTATCCGAATAAATATACATACAAACTCAGTTTTACCTGCAGAAGGGTATCAAAAATACTGATGTTAGTTGAGGTAGTAGATGAGGTAGGAGCATCTGAAGTAGGCATGCCATCACTGCTACTTGTACCTGAATCTCGATGATCATCGTTTTCATAATCCATCCAATTATTCACCGACGAATTCCAATTTAATGCCTGCGGAAATTAAAAGAAATTTATTGTATTACATTGATCACAAATAAACTATAAATTATTTTTTAACATGTTCAAAATTTCTTGCATATTTATAGATTAATAAAATAAAGAATAAATTTGCATGCATATTTATATATGTAAGGAAAAAAAATTAACTTCCAGTGATCTCTTTTGATTTTGAGTAAAGACATCATAAAAACTAAAACCTCTCTGTCTTTACAAAAGTATCATTGTCATAAAATTCTGAAGACAAAAAGGGAGTATTTTAGTAGAGTCAAACTATTTCTTCTACATGCAAATGAAAAAGTTGTTATGCAATGGACGCTCTTCAAAATCTGAGAACAACAATTTCAATGAATTGTTATACGGAAGCTCTGACGCCAATTTGCAGAACGTCAATGAACATTTTGTGAACAGAAATGAAAAAAATTTGTACAAAAAAGAAGAAAAAAAAGAAAGATAACTGTAATGTACCACAAACCTGTACATCACCTACTGAAACATTAGCTTTTTCTGGGGCGCTATTGTCATTATTATTCATTTGTCGTTTCGTTTCAAAAATCGTTTCAGCAATCTCAATGCCACCTTTCTGTTCAGCACCTGAAAATTTCTTTCATATCCAATAATGTGCATTTTCAACTGGAATATAAGAGTGAACTATTAGAACCACTTTACAATTTGATTTGTAAGCAAAGAATTACAAGTCATAGATACGATTATGGAATGAGTTAAATTATGATAGTTTAAAGTACATAAAAATTCAATTAAAGAAGTGTTTTTATTTTCTTTTATGAAAGTCAATAAATGATGCGAAATAATGAAGGGAATAATTAATGCAAATAATCATAGTCTATAAAAGCTAATTATATATATGCAAGGCTTGTTAAAGCTAATTGATATTCTTTAACAAAGAGATTAACCTGTGACAAACTAATAAAACTATGAAGTAAAGCTTTATATCGATCAAAACTTATCTTATGAAAATCTACCTCAAGAATCGAAGCTAACTTGATATGAATTGAAAAAAAAAGGTATGGAATGCCTTATCTAATTCTATCCTAGCTCTCCCGGCATTCCTCCCACATCTCCTAATTTCATCCAGTCATGGCCCATTACCATCATGGATTCGAGACTCAAAATTAGGAATGGATCATCAAATGCTTGCTTCATAAATGTATCATTTTTCAACGCTTAAAAGTACTTGTTTAAATTTAATTACGGTTTATTTTATTAGTAGAGAGAGCTAATCGTCTACATCATCCTGTAGTGTTTATAAAAGTTGAAAAAAAAAATGAAAATTGCTTTTGAACATTCCAGAAAAAAAATTCAAAGAAAAAAACTTGATATTTTTGCTGAAAACAGCGTAACAAGAGAAGGAATATAAAATGGTAAGGTTATTTTCCTCGTTTTTGAACTGAAATATGATATTTTAGCCAACAGATATGCAGCTTTCTGAATCACTAATTAGTCGTTTGATAAGGTTGGAAAAAAGTGAGAATTATTACAGACAGAACTTAAAGATGACAGTTATATCACTGGTTTTCATTAAAAACTGTAAATCTTTCAAAGCAAACGGAAAAGGATTTTTCGAACGGCTTATTTTTAAATTTAGTTACAAGCAATGATGTTTTATGAGATACACCTTTGCATGTTTATTTCTTTATAACTATAATTTGATTGATTAAGTTAAATCCAACATTTGAGTTTTCAGAAAAAAATACAATGGAACATCAAACATTGATTTTTGACATCTCAAATGAAATAATAAAATTTAATCAAAATTACTTGGATGATGTTGAAACGAATTTCTAAGCATCCAAGCTGTCATACTTTCTCTTAAATTTACCAATATGAACTAATAATGCCATTATAACTTTTTCAAAACTTTCTCTTAGAACATCTGTCTCCTGTTATACTTTAGTAATGCCAACTGCTTCTGGCACTAACGTTGTGATGAAATAAATATTTGATCAACAAATATGGCATAGTTTTCACAATCAGTTAAAATTTGGACATCCGGGCAATAACTTTAAGAGAGAGAACAGTTAGTCGGGAAAAACTCAGTATTTTTTTTTTTGCGAATGATGCTAAGCTTTTTTCTGTATAAGGAAAAAAAAGTAGAAAAGATGAATAAAAATTAATTTTAGAACAGTGAGTTGGAAATGATGAATTAATGGAATATTCGGAGAGATTATAATAAATTATAAAAGAAAAAAAAAGAAGGCAAACATTAACTTAAACTGGCAACAAATGAAACATCATATAAATTTAAACTGTATATTATCAGTAAGTTTAATTTATCATTCACTATGAGGCAGCCAACTCGAGGAAAGAGAGAGAGAGAAAGAGAATTGAAGCCATCTGGTGAAAACGATGAGGGAGAATGTTCGAAACCTAAACCTTTATTTGAACCTGAAACTTTGTTCAACGATTAATTATAATACCACTAAGGCAAAATGTCAGTGATACCATCTTATCCCACTTCAACCATTAATCCAACTTGTTTAGTGAAGTTGCAAAAATTTTTTAAGAATGAAAAAAGTTCAAAATGTTTATGAAATGTGATCCGAGAACGGTAGCAATTGTATGTTTGAAAAGATCGAATTGTTAAAAGGTAAACGTCGATACTAGTGAATGGAATCACACACAGATACACCTAACTCGCACAGACACACACGCACAACAACGAAATAATGGATCGACCAATTGTGGAGAGGAAAGAATCGATAAGTTGTTAAATGCCTTCGAAAGAAAAGATGAAAAAGAAAAAAAAAACGTTGGAAGTTGAATGAATTTTTTATCCTTTAATGCGTGAATCACTGATATCAACGTAACCGTATCTCTTTCGATGTGAATGAAGCAATTATTCACTTCTTGAGATTTCTCTCATTTTTTTAATACCGCAAACACAATTGCCTCTGAAGATGTCTGATCTTATACCAAAATATCCCACTTGATGATACTTGAAATATTCTGGAAAATGTTAAAATCGATCTGATAAATTATGCATTTTAAAAATCCCTCGATTCTTTTCTCAGAAAAGAATTGAATGTTGCTTGCTTGCATACAAATTTGATGAATATGTCTAAAAGTAATGAGGCACACAATTGAAATTAAACAAGCATCAAATTAAAAGAAAAAATTTGAAATGAAACAAATGGCAAAAAGTTTTAATTGAACAATCAGCTTATAATCTTTTTAATACGACACGGCGTAGAATTGTGTGATATCAATTCAGATTAACATTTATTCAGTTCTTCTGATGTGACTATAGTTAAAAGATAATAAACCTATTATTCAGATAGCAATAGTGACAAATGAAAATGAAATATGAGTTTTAATGAAAGATGCGGACTGGCACATATGGTTAAGTAAAATGAATTAAGTGATATTAATTAACAAATTACACAAATTAAAATAATTAAAATTATACATTGGTTCGAGAAGAGAGATAAAAGAAGGTGGAAGAAAATATAGCAGTATGTTGTATAGTTACTGAAGTACATCAATCAACAACTCTCTCTCTGGTATTTCAAAAAAAGAAAAGAAAAGGTTTACAAAACGCTAAAAAGATGATAAAGATCTATTATTCAAGTAGCAATAATGACAAATGAAAATGGAATATTAGCATTTTTTGGAGAGGAAAAAATGTTCTCATTCTTCCTTTTTTCTTAGGAAAACTATTAAGAAGAAATTGAATTATTTAAAACGGAAGAAAAAAAAGGAAATAAACATTGATAAAAAAAGAACATTCATAAAAGCAAATGATCTGTTCCGATGATGAGACAAGTACACATCGCCAACGTGTATAATCGGTTTCACCAAAAATTCTAGCCTACGAAAATTTCAATTCGTCTATCAATCATGGCTTTAGCCAACTATAATTGATAATCTAATTTCCTCATGTATGTTGCGTATAATGCTCGAGACTTTCACATATCTCAATACTACTTATTTCTTATCATACGTACAGGATGCGTGATTGTGGTAATGAAAAATTATGGCTGAAGTATCAAATTTTGAAATTTATTTTTGAACGAAAAAAAGCTTACTAGCTCGTTGAGCAAATCACTTCATATACCTTCATTTTTTGCTTAGAAGAATTAAAGACAAATTGGATTTATGACAAGTATATTTACATCGGTATGTCACAAATGAGTGCTGCATTATGAATGAATAGCAAATTTTTATTAGAATTAGATTTTATAGTTTCAAATAATGAAATTTATTTACCATCAACGATAAAATTGAGCTCTTCAAGCGCTAAACTGAGTATTCGATTAGCTTCTTCCAAGCCACCTTTATTCATTATCACTCGTTTGTTCGAAAGAAAAAAAGAATTTCACGCTGTAAAATGAACCAACAATTAATTTCTATTACACACACAAAAAAAAAAAAAAAAAAAGAAAAAAAAACATCAGAAAGTTTCTATTGAATGCATTTAATTAAACTGTTTCCTTTTTAATATTGTGGTCAGTGAATTTTATTGTTAACTTTCTGTACCAAACTGTTTGATCAAAGTGTTTCAAGATACATTTTAAAAGCAAAATTTAAAGAACATCGGTAGGAACAAGTGATAACGAACATATTGAAAAGAAGCAAAACACAATTTTAGAAAATAGCAAAACAAAACAAAAAAATCCATGATTCGAAAATAAGAAAAAAACTTTTAAATCAATCAATAAATAAAAAAAACTTTAAAGTTTTACGATCACTTTATTTTTTCTTCTCGTCTTTTTTGAAAACAAACAAAAAATGTCATCGCCCCATAATCAAAATGTATATTATTTGTGTAAGACATTTCAAAAAAAAAAAAACCAAAAAATTGAACATACATCATGCTAATAACGGCATTTCTGAATAAATATTATACTAAATAACTAAGATATTTCAAATTTCTTTATAAGTAACATCTGGAAAGCATATGCAATTACTTTTCTCTCTCAAATGAATGAAATATAAGTAATCAGTATAAATCATGACAGCTACACACCGATTATTAATGATTGGAAGATCCCAATGCTTAAAGAAAAATTCAAATTCTAATACTGTGGAAGAATTAACGGCAATGAATTTTTGTTTGTTGGGAATGTGGCACACCGATCATTAGTGATTTTTCACTTCTGCATAAATTTATATATATATATATATATATATAATGCATATTTCTACGTAACACTTATAATGCATAATAAAATATTCAAAAAAAAAAAAAAAAAAAAAAAGATTCCATGATTGAAAAGAAGAGAGGAGAGAGAAAAAAAAAAAAAGAAAAATAATGAAATTTAGCAACTAATGAGACTTGAAAGATGGTGATATTTCATCTGGTTATGATATGTCATATTTTGATAAAAATCAATAAATCGGTGTTTAATGGTGATTTTTTTCTTTTTTTTTGCAAATTGATTTGAAATTAACAATGATGAATGTATAGTATGTACGGTAGCATTTTGTGAATGTTTTGTTAAACTGTGTTTGTTAGGTCCTTTATTAATTCGAATTATATAATTTTTGTTGGTTAATATGTTGTCAATATTACTATAATTTGCTTTTAAAATTGTCAAAATAATATCCACGATTAACGTCTTTAATGAATGCTTTTCCCAATGTCCAAAATAACCTTGATTTATTAAAAAAAAAAAAAAAAACATATTTAAAAAAAAAAAAAAATGAAGCTCTAACTTACTTCTCTAACCAATATTTGGTCCTACTTCAACAATAGCTAAACTGATATGCCTTTTCCTTATTACATAATGTTTTGGCCAAGTTGGTCACTTTATGTGGAACATGAAAAACGAAAAATGAATGATCGATGACAATGACAAATATGGAATTTTCCAAAAGTATGGAGAACGAATGAAGAATGTTCCAGCATATGTGATCGTCCTCCTCTTCTTGATAGGGCACTTTTTTTTATTATCTTTTTTTGTTGAAAGTCAAATAATTTCGCTGAATGAATGTGCGGACTATCATCGCTAAAATATGCTTTGCTTTTTTTTTGTTTTTCAAAAAAAAAGAGATGTGAATTTCTGATAAATGGAAAAAGTAGTTGGTAAGTGGTGTTATGCTTTTCATAAACGGTAAAATTTTTTTGAAAACTTTTTCTCAAAATGAAATCAGAAAAAACAACTAACTAGATGAGACCAACAGAAATATGTGAAAGTAACAGTAATAGTAACAATCCGTTGCACTAGCCAAACGAAATGCGGGTAAATGAATGTTGACAGGATAGACGGGGTGAAGGGAGAGATAGGTAGGTTAAGAGGGAAAGAAGAGGGAAGGGCAGCACGTAAATAAGAAAGAAGACAAGGAGGAGGAGGCAAGGACATTCAATGTAATATGTGTGTGCGGTTGAAGACAGCTCAACGGTAATGACAAGTGGTGATGTGACATCCATCGGTAAGGAAAACGTGACAGGAGGACAGAGGACAGCTCGCGTCACCAAAAAGCAAAAGGAGGATGGGTATGAGCGCGTCTCGATATTTTGTCGCTTATATTGTAGCGGTAATTACAACCCAACTTCCTCTGTATCTCTTATTCCACTAGAGTTCGGTTAAATTTTGACCTCAACTGGCTAGTTACATGCTAAATCCCATATAGATGGATATAATGTCTGCCGTTACCTGAGCAATAACAACTAGAATAAATTTTAAATTTTAATGAGACTTTCAAGAAATCATTTAAAAAAAAAGGGACTGGGTAAGTAACGTATGCTTGTTTGCATACGTCATCATCCAAAAGTTATTTGCAGCTATTTTGAGCAATGACGTATGGAATTCAAATAATGGGAAAGCACGGCAGCTAGTTGTAATTAATGAAAACAACGAAAAAACTGGTTTTAATTTGGCAGTTAAGCCGTTCAAATTTCTTCTTTTCGTTTTATTATTGAAGTTAGGAAAAAAAAAACATTATAGTGATAAAGATAGATTAGGTGATACAAATAGTGTCGAACATTTCAAGATTTTTTTCTTGTTTATCAGCTTTATTTATGAAACTCACCTACTCCATTTTGAATTCAATCGATCTAACTTGCAGGTAATAAATGTTGAAATAGTTGGGTATATTAGTTGGAACTCATTAATTAAAATCAAATTTAAATAACTGACAAGTTTAGTGCGAACTAAAAAAGTGATAAAATCGTTGAATCATTAAATAGAAAGTTGCAAAGAATGACCCACTAAAAATTAAATAAATCTTTTGTTTACAATGTTTCATTCCAGGAACATTTCCCTAAATGAAGAGTATCTGCGAGACAGAAAGGGGAAGAGGGAGAAGAATAGAGAGAAGGGAAGACAGGGAGAGAGAGAGAGGAAGGAAAAAAGAACAGGGGGGGGGGAGCGTAGGCGAAGAAAGCTATTGTCCCGTTTGTCGAACGTTTCAAGAGGGAATTTTGATGGTTTCTCGAGCTTGGGATTTGAAGTTGTTTGGAATTTAGAAGAAATCAGAATTTAAAAAATAAAGGAATTAAATGCAATGCATTCATTTTATATTATTACAAAGAATAACGTCCAAATAATGAACAATAAACATTTAAGGTACTCAACATTGGGATAAGCTATCATCAGAGGTTGAAATGAAAAGCTGACTTAGTTCGAGATGACAGTACTAGATTCAAATTTCAATAATTATTAAGAAGTTATTTGAAATTCTTGAAATTTAAAGCGAACTTGGCACCGAGTTCCGGAATTGTTTTTGTTTCAAGAAGGTGGCACAGGCACTTAAGGCTTTTTTACCGTACTTATGCATTACTGTGGATATGGCGGTGGAGTTTTTTCAAACTTTTCGGATTTTCTTAACTAAAACAATTTCGATTTAGATACTGAGTTTCTCCAGAGTATTAGAAGTTAATGAAATGGCATATCATAATTTTTCCACTTACACCAATAAAACATGTTGTTCAGTATTTTAATTTTCAAGGGAGAGAGAAAAAAAGCACGTCTTAAGAATAGTGAATAAAGGTACCAGTAAGCTGTGAAAATTATGTAAAAATCATTTGTTGGAAATTAATAGTCTGAAAATATGATTGGATATGGTACCCAAGAATTGACATCGGTTGAGTACAGTGAAGCGGGTTTGATTACTGGAGTTGCGACGAGATTTCTTGTACAACCTCTTGATGTTTTAAAAATTCGATTTCAAGTATGTAATCAGTTCAGTTACATAGCAAATTGCTATTTTTCAACCAAGTTGTTTAGTACAGCATGTCTGAATAACGAATAGCTGGCTGCTCATCATTTTCCTTTATTAGCACATTCAAAAGGCTACAGAATTGTATTAGGGGACCAGACTAAGCTAAATCTGGAACTGAAGTAACAGTAGTGCAACTTTTAATATCCTGAAATCAGTTCAGGTAAAAATTCTTTAAAAAATGTTTCTATTTATCCTTAAAATCAGTTTTGGACAAAATCCTAGGCATTTATAGGTTATTGTAGTTTTTTCTCAAAATGTGACATAATTGCTTTTCTGTTTGTAAACTTGTTGGTATTACTGTTTAAGGTGCAAAGAGAACCAACATTCGGTAAAAGTAAAGGACGGTATCATGGCATCTTTCAAGCTTGCTCACGAATTTATAAGGATGAAGGATTAGTGGCATTCTGGAAGGGTCATGTTCCTGCTCAAGGATTATCCGCCGTTTATGGAATTGTGCAGTTTGCCACTTTTGAGTTTCTTACTGAACAGGCAACTCAATACCCTCGTATGTTTCCACAACTTATCCGGGAAATTATGTAGAAGAAACTGATAAAAAAATATTGTGAATACTCTTACTTTTTATTTTCTAATTTCATACTTTAATTTAACCTGAGAATTTCAAATAACAAGTTTTCTGGATTTGTTTTATTTCTGTTCACATATTACTTTCAGTAGTCGTTTTCCCCTTCTTTTTCAGTTAAACATTTGTGAAAATTTATTTTAAGTTGCAAATGAAAATCGACGAATAACGGATATAATATGCGGAGCGTTAGCTGGATGTGGAGCCATGGTTTCCTCATTGCCGTTTGATGTTATCAGGACAAGATTAGTCATTCAAGACCAGCACAAAGTACATTTCTATTGGATTAGTATTCCGGTCTAACCGTAGTGTGCAGATGTTAGAGATACAGTTTAGTAATTATTGGGATTACAGATTTATAATGGGATGTTACAAGCTGTGATCTTTATTTGGAACTCGGAAGGTTTCCGTGGTTTTTTCCGAGGAATCACTCCATCTTTAATTCAGATTGCTCCTTTTATTGGTTAGTCACTGAAATAATTCGGAATTCTATTGTGTTTTAAAGTTTATACCTGTTTCATTTTCAAATTAAGGTAAAT